CGTTCGTTGTGCTGCTGCTGCTGCTGCTGCTGCTGCTGCAGCTTATGCGCATTTACCCCTTACATACCTCATCCAAATATATCATCCATCGTCGATGCCCACCTACTTTCTACCATTATATCGCCGTACCATACTCAACGCTCCCTCTCGATTTTCCTATTCCTTTCCACTTCTCTTTTCTATCGTTTCATATTTTATTCCAGTTAATATTTACAATTAATAATCGTTCTTCCATTTAAATTTCGTCGTCGATTTTCAAAGTCCTCCGTAAAAACAGCAATATTTTTATGTTCGAACACACCTACTATCTCGTTTTGTTCACATGATCAACCTTTGTCTATCTACCTTTCATTATCATTATTATCTATCACTCGCAGCTTATTCCATCGGAACACTCTTCAACGGAACTAATCGATTTTTTTCGTCTTAATCGTTTTCATGTGTATTCATAAGTAAGTAATGATAATAATAATAATGCTTAACTGACTTCCTTAATAAGTCCCAAATCGTCCTTTTTCTCAGGAAGAATTTGATTAGGATTGTATGTGTGTATTGCGATATAAAGCTGAAGCATTGGTTCGTTTTTTGTTTATTCATCTCGTTGGTGTGTTCAAATGTAAAATTGACGATGATGCGTGATGAACGAAATCATATGGGTGTTTCGAGGTGCTTTTCAAAATGTGTCTCCTCAAGTGAATTCTGAATTGATTTTGTAAAACAAAAATTTATTTCTTCAAGAGTGTTGTGCAATGTTTCTCACATTTCACTACGGTGCTGTTAGTTGGTCGTATCGGCTAATCTTGATCAGTGATTCGTCTCACTTCTACTGACGTCTTTCGTATGTTGACGACGTTTTATGTAATTAGTCCTCGATCCATACCTAAAGCATGTGGTCATGTCACATCCACTGTTTGTGTACTGCTTTTGCACAGAGTGAACTTAATAATTTCGAGAAATGATGAGCTTTGTTGAGAAGATGATGCTTTGGAAAGTTATATTGAAAACATTCAGACATTTCTAACAGTCTTTCAGCGCAAGCGATTTCAGTGCATAGCCGATGCAATATTCCATTTTGAAAACACATAAAAAGTTAGAGTTTGTAATGAGACGATTTGGTATTAGAGATGTGCAAATCGATTATGGTGGTGGTGTAGATGCGTACTTAAAAAAAAAGTTAGATCAAGGCATGTGAGCGATGCTTAATGAACTCGTTTATAATGAGTGTTGTACTAGTGAGGGATATCACGAAGAATAACTGATAACGTTATTAGGCGAGATTTAGAGATGATGAGTGGTGATTTCAGTTCATTATGTGATGAAATCGTGTATGATACGTTTTATCCGATTGACCTTTAGAGAAGATCAGTTGATTGTATCTTAGCGTAAATGCTTCAGAAAATGATGTCTATGACACTGTCTGAATGATTTTCTTTTCTGCTCTTCTCGTCTGTGTTTCATAATGTGAATTTTGGAGCTATATCACTGTTTACAGTTGTTCATATCAAGCATTACGTGCTGATAAGGACTGTTTTTGTTCGTGTTCAACGTGTTGTAAGTTAACGATTAAGTGTAATCTATTGCTGCCACGATTGCACACAATTCGGCA